GGGTTACCCACTGATTTTCCTCTACTTAACAAATTAAAAAAGCCCAGAAAGACAAAGTGAATAGGTACATAAGAAGTAGGATGAAAATCCACATATTTTTGAGTCCTAATCACAATTATTTCCACAAAACATACTGCTTTGTCTTTAAAGGTGTTTAACATATGTATTATATTATACTATACATACAAAATTATATATGCATGTAATTCTGTATTCATAGTTTAACTGATTTAAGACTAATGTTATCAATAATGCCTTTGCATAAATGGACAATTATTCTGTTCATCAAGATAATTTAATGGCTTGCCCATGTTCTAAAAACTACTTATTAATAAAAATTTGAGCTTACTACCCTCAAAAGAGTAACTGTCTTCAAAAAATTATAATCACATAGCACTCATAGATTTGCTTTTAATAACTAAAAAGTCTGCAAAGAAATACACCTAGATTAAAAATATTATTTTTAGATAGATAAGGTTCAGTTCTAACAGAAAGCAACATTATAATATGTTTGGTTTTGACAAAATATAGTTCTTAATAATTTTATACATATTTTCCACTGTAGATTATTTAAGATTGCTTCTTTTTATGCCAAGATCTTTTCTGATATATCTATATGAAGTTGTTCTGGTATCTTGATGATACCTTTTAGATACAGAGCTATTCTGAAACATACACTTACACATAGCTAAGAAAAAGCTTTATCCTAAGGTTTAGAAATTTAGTAATATTAAATTAAATTTCATTTTTATTTCTAGTTATGACTACAGTGTCTAATAAATTTCCTAAATTATATTTGTTGAATGAATATTTCTCCTTTATCTCTCAACATTTTTTATAGGGCAACTTAATTTATCACATACAATATATAATATATATACAATTAGCAAATATAAGTAAGTTTAAAGTTTAAATCACACATACACAGTTATAAGAAGTGTTTCAAATGACAAATATCATTTTGAACCTTTTAGAGTTTACTAAATATAATCACTAGTACTAAAGGAATATATTACCAAGCCTACATACATGGTGGTAAATATAAATAACTAAATAAGACTGGTATTACTAATCAACTTAGAAAAATATTTGAATTAAAAATTTGCTATTCATTGTCTAGTACACTCAGTGTAATATAATTCATTACAGATGAAAAGTTAAATCAGATATGTGACATGCAATATCTTATTAGCATAATGAAAATAGCAATTAGATGTTATTTGTTCACTTGCAGTCCTTTGTTACGTACTAATATTACTATAAATACTGAAGTCAAAATTATTTTTTTCTTTATGAAACCTGGGTTCCAAAGTAAAGGTGTCTAATATACAATGGTATATTGTAGAAAAAGATTATTTTTAATAATATTGTATAACCATGTAAGTTATTTTCAGTATTTAAACCATCTAAGATTATGCTTATCAAGTACCAAACCAAAGGTTGCTAGAACATTTTCTCTCAAAAACAAAGACTGTTAGATTTATTCTAAGAAATTAAAGCAAATTCAAGATCCTATGTTGCAATAATGTATGACACTAACATTTTATTACAAACAACTGTGTACGTATACATCTTGCCACTTTATACAATATGTGTTTACCCAGAGAAATCAGGTTGGCCTCCTACAGTTTATAAGGCCAAATGTGTTCTGAAATTACTTAAATTGACTACAATAAAACATATTGCTAAGAATAGAACATTATTCTCTTTCCCAAGTAAAATTATATGCACTATGCCTGAAGAAAATGATGAAGAAAGTAATGTTTAAAAAGACTGAGAGTTTAAGATTATAATCTTCTCTAAACCTCTGCCCACAAAACCAGTATGACAATATGGGGTTAGGTTTTGGGCAAACACCAGTGGGTACATATGTTTTTCTCTATACAACAAAGAAAACACATTAGAGACTCAGATTTCACTCTGCTCTTAGAGGAAAGGAAACTCAATGTGTTTTTTCAAGGAAACTTTGGAAACTTACTCTGTAAATTAGAAATGATCTTCTGGATCAATAAATCAGAAAAAGTCATCTTTATTAATAAGATAATTATCAAGTTAAAATATAACAAAGACATATTTGAAATTACTAGTTTAGGCAAATCAGAAATTATGCCTTACTTACAATTCATTTTACATTTAATAACTGTTAAATAGAAACATTTAGAGAACAAAGCTATTCTGGAAACAAAAAGAAAGCTTCATAGACTAGACCACTGAGTTATATACAATGGGGTAAACACATGCTCAATTGTCTTTTTCATTAATAATAAGAAAGCCACAAAGTGCCGTGAGGTGTTGATATTATAATGCAAAAATTGATTAAAAATTGAATGAATCAAGCAGATTTTGTATAATATAAAATTCTGAAATTCTAGAAAACCAAATTCCTTTAAAATGTACATGATTGATATATGAAATTAGAGCAGACTCATCTTGACATGAAAAATAAAGTCTTACTGCATACTTGTGCTGATATGACTGTGTAGTGTACTTTCCAGTATAAACCAGTTTCACACTTACTTAGTGGTTTGTGTTATGAAAAGAAAAACGATGTAGCTGCTTTTACGTTATATTGCTGCACTCTTCTTCCTGTCTCTCTCCTGCTCAAAGCTCCTTCTCCAGTTTTTGTAACAATGGCATAATCTACCAAGTTTGCCTCCTATTAAGCACTAGACATCTACACTTTCAATTCAGTGTATCATGGACCAGGTGTGGTACATACCTGTAATCACAACACTCATCAAACTAAGGCAGAAAGATGATTTCAAGTCCAGCCTGGCTACATATTAGATTCTAGGACAATCTATACTACATAGTGAGTGAGAGACCCTGTCTTAAACAAACCAACCAACCAACCAACCAAAACTCTACATCAAACCAAAGGATCAAAAACACTGCTCTTCCTTCTTTCTTTTTCCCCTTTTGTCACTGTCTTTTTTTTGTTCTTCTGTACCTTTTGTCTTGTATGTAAGTTTATCTGATTTGGGGAAAGAAAGAGGAAAGCACAGAAATGGTAGGACAAAGGGTGAACTAATTCAGCAGTGATACTCACTAGGCACTATGTTAAAAATGAAGTACACAATTTGTGGAAGAGGGGAGTTGGGAGGGAAAAAACAGGGAAAAAGAGGGAAGAGGTACCACTGTTCAAAAAACAGTACTACGGGGGCTGGGAAGGTGGCTCAGTGGTAGAGCGCTTGCTTGCCTTGCATGCCTGAGGCCCTGGGTTCGATTCCACAGCACCACATAAGCAAAAAGAATAAAGCTGGAAGTGGCGCTGTGGCTCAAGTGGTAGAGCGCTAGCCTTGAGCTGAAGAGCTGAGGGACAGCGCCCAGGCCCAGAGTTCAGGCCCTATGACCGGACCCCAAAGCCCCCCCAAAAACAAGAACAAAAAAAAATACCAGTACTACTCATTACCTGACTTATGTAACTGCAGCCCCTTTTGTACATCACCTTTACAATAACAATAAAAAATAAAATAAAAAGAGTTTTGCATTTTTTTCTCTAATGATTCATTATCGGTAAAAGAACTACAATTGTATCTTTTCATTCATCTTCAGACTCTACTGCTAGAAAAGATACAAAGTAAATTCATGCTCAGACTTCTAAAAGGAAATCTAAGTTCCATTCATCTAGTTATAAAGAACTCTCAAACTAAATAAAACACTCTTAGAGTTAGTGAACACAAATTAAAGATGACTTAGAAATCAATTTGTTTGATAATAACTTACCAGTATATCAAAAAGTTATGTAAGAAGGTAAATTGGTAAAACACAATGAAATAAAGCAAACATACATGATTGAAATTATTTTAGGAATAGTGAAAAAAAAGACTATACTACTAAAGGGAATATCTACAAAAATATACATATTTTACCTGTCATCATCTTGTGAGAATCTCCTTTGTAAGTCCTCTTTGCTCCACTGTTCTTTTTCTTTCCCTTGCTCAGGTATATCTTGTGGTTTTTCCTCGTCTCCTGATTCTCTGTTTTTCTCCTTATTACATGCTTTTATAATCTCTGTCCCTTTCTCATTCTCATTAATGCTCTCATCTTTTACCTCTGAGTCCTTATGAACTATCTCTTCATGTTCATCCCCTTCTTTCCCTCCCTCTTCTATTCCCTTTGGCCTTTTGAATGCAACACAAATGGAAGGCATGCAAATAAATACAAAAGAAGGAAAAAAAGTCAAGAAAACATGCACATGAATTTAAACAGAACAGCAATGAAAACTATTAAAAACAAATATATGTTATAAGCTATGTCATAAGTTATAAGTGTGAAAACATTTTTTTTACTGTCAGAGAAGCACTAGGGGTATACAATAATCATACAGCTTCAATTCTTACATTCCTTTTCCAAAATTATTTGGAAAACTGGCAAAAACTATGATCTCTTATAGAGATTTAAGTCAAGTAGCGATTAAAAAAACCAGTAAGGACAAGTGAGAAATATAAATTATACTAATTTATATACTATATTTATATGTTTTTCAGAAGCTGAGAAAACTTTCCATACACTTAATGATTTCAGAGATCATCCTAGTAAAAAATATATTTAAAACTAGGAGATAACACTTTCTATATACTTATAGATAGGAGATCACCCTACTAAAAATATTCTTGTTTTCTAAATCATTGAGATACATTCAGCTCAGAAAAACTCCTCCAAAATATTATTTAGGTATTTTTTTTAGAACACTAAGAAGTTTACAACCTTACTTAACCATCACTTAAATTTTAGCGAGGATGTAATAATGGTAGTTAAGTCTTTAAATTGCAAACATAAAATAACTATTATTCCAAGTAATCTAGTACACAAAATTTATGGCAACAAATCTGAACTGTGCACCAAAATAACAATAAAAAAGAAAAATGTACAGAAGAGCCTACTACATTAGTGATATATTTAAAACCTTTTAAAAATAATGGGTTTGATGTTTATCCCAAGAAAAGGAAAGGTCCAGAATATATTTAACATTTTACTGTTAAACTCTCCTTACTCACCTGATTTTCTTGTTTCCTCTTGGCCGTTCTGACTGGACAGACATGTAGCTTGTGCTGCTGAAACGAGAAGCACTACTAGTCCTTGAAACCGCAGATATATCACTTACATCACTGTCCGAAGATTTAGTAGAAATATTATCTGCCCCTCTATGAGGATCCCATCCTGATCGATACTGTTAACACAGATGGACAAATACGCAGAAGTTGTCAGTATAACCACACAAAGCAGTCATTAGCTTTCTCCTATTTCAGCACTTTAATTGTCCACAGAGGATACTGCAATATCTCACTCAGTTGCATATAAACCAAAAGTGAATGGTAATTATCCTAAAAGAAAAATTCAATTTATGTGAAACCCTTGTTTTTAGCAAAGTAATTAGACCATTTTCACCACACCCCAAAGAAGGCCATTAAAGTAGTTTCAAAACAGCAATGGCCACAGGGAAGAACATTTAGGTAAAATATGGGAAATAAAATTTTGGTTTAATATTAGGAAGTTCAATTTTTAAATTTCTGAATAAATTTATAAAAAACTACAATGAGTTGCCACTTTAACTTATAAAAACCAATTCTAGTAGCCATTGATTTTTCTCTTTAATCCATTATGCTTCACTGAAAACCTAGAGATGACACAAAATCTAATTGTTAAACCGCTAAGTCTTTTTAGAATAACTAAGATAAAAGAGAAAGTTTAAATTCTGAACAGTTGCTGGAATTTTGATGGATCCTAGAAATACTAGAAGTCATTATTATTTATAATAGCTCAAACTTCCTGGAACTGAAATAATCAGTTAACTGGCACAGCCAGGGTTGCAGGGTGTTCTTGGGTGCTCAAGTGTTCTGGTAAATTGAAAAACAACACAAACATTTCATGTTAATAACCTATTCTCATAAGATACATTTAATGTAAAAACTAATGGACAAAACTTAATTTTATTATTGACAACCAAAGAACATTTGCCAGGAGTCTTCAAGCTGGAATGTAAAAAGAATAGACTTGGAGCCTAGAAAACCTAGAGCAAAAAAAAAAAAAAAACTTTTACTACCTGGGGAAAGGCAAGTAAATTATTTAACCTTTGAAAGCTTATTGCTCAAGAAATGTACTCACTACCTTACTTATGTAACTGTAACCCTTCTGAAATTAACTGTGACAAGAAAATTAAAATTAAAAACAAATTAAAAAAAAAAGCTTATTGTGGCTGGGAAGGTGGCTCAGTGGTAGAGCACTTGCTTTGCATGCATGAGCTCTTGGGTTCAGTTCCTCAGCACCACATAAACAGAAAAAGCCGGAAGTGGTGCTGTGGCTCAAGTGGTAGAGCACTGGCCTTGAGCTGAAGAGATGAGGGACAGCGCCCAGGCCCAGAGTTCAGGCCCCATGACTTACAAAAAAAAAGCTTATTGTAAAGTAATAAGATTAATACCTTCACTGTAAATGTTTTGAAACTTATAAATTATGTGTTATATCTAACATAAATTAATGAAACCATTATTAATACTATCATGTCATTGCTATCTAGTGGTATAACTAAATTTGTAATTCTGAATAAACATCAAATATGGCTATTACTGAGTATAATATTTAATTGATTTTTCTTTATTTATATGCATATTAAGCAAAATTTTGAAATGCCTTTATCCAGACAATTTTTGGAAACTTATCACATATACTGATATATTCCACAAATCCTTGAAATAATGATTAGCTTATATAACCTAACTTGCCGTGATTTTAATAAGTGTTATCTCATAACCAGTCTTCCAGGAGTAACAGTTCAGTATAAGTGTTAGACAGAAAGAAACATTTTGGTCAAGATAGACTGATGGGTAATAGACTACAATTTAAGTAACAAATCATATTTAAATGATTTGTTGCTTTCTTTCCTGTGGATCTCCTTGAACCTAGTTATATATTTCTATGTTAATAACTGACTATTTTCTTTACCTGTAAAACAAAAGGATCATTGCTAAGGCTCCATAAAATTTTAAGTAATGAAACTCATTAAAAAAATGCACATGTGGTAACTGGCCTGTCTTAGTCTACTTTACTCTTCAACTTTGTTAGATAAAGCTTTAATTATTAAAAAAAAAACTTCCCAAGCTTGTTCCTTTTTCTAGGAAATACCTAAGTAATAAAATGATAGTGTGTGCTTTGGAAGGGAACATTATTTAACTACATCACATTAATACTTTTAATATTAATAACAATAGTTAATATTAATTTTTTCAAATAATGATTTTAAAATATAAGTGAATTTACATAACTCATTAGTGTGGAAATGCTCTTTGGTGGTGAATCAAAGATTACATATTTTATCTATATAAAATATGCATACATATACAATAGATCGGTTGTTTATACATTTTTCTTAAAATTATTCAAATTAAATTTGATCTTAAATTCAGACATATATGGATATCTTTCATTTTATTTATATATATGTATATTTGGATATTTCATTTATATAAAAACCAAAGGCTTAAAATGTTCAATGTATTTGCTGAACTTTCTTACTCTTCAAATTTATGATTAAAAAAAAGAAGCCATCTTCTACTATTTCTTGAAAATAAAACTTCATAACTAGAGAGAAAATCACTTCTGATATTATATTTCTTATTTACTTGTGCTTGTTAGGCTATTATATCATCTAAATTCAACTGAATAACTTTAAGTTTTAACTCTAGGAGGCAACAGAATAATAATGTAGTAATTAAGAGCTAATGTTCCTGAGTGAGAATATTATTGGCTAAATAAATTATCATGTTTTTTTGGGACAGTTGCTTCTGTGAATATCTCAGTTTTCATCTGTTAAGATATGGAAAACCTTACAATTTTCTTAGGATTACTACTAGTACTAAACACAAAAATATAGGTATATGCACAATATTTGACACATAGCAAATGTAGTAGCAAATTATGGCGATGATGTGGCAGTGGTAATGATCAGACAATAGTTGTTTTTGTCAATTCCAGGAGTATATTAGCTAAAAATATATTTGATAGAAATATCCAACACTAAAAATATTATGACTGAAGCTAAAATAAAAGTTATATCTCTACACATATCTAAAAGATTTGTTCCAAAAATATTCTTCTAAAACAAAGCTAAACTCTTTTTTTTTTTGTCGGTCCTGGGGCTTGAACTCTGGGCCTGAGCGCTGTCCCTCAGCTCTTCCGCTCAAGGATAGCCCTCTACCACTTGAGCTACAGCACCACTTCCAAAACTAAACTCTTAAAGCCAAGTGTGCCCCTGATTTCCAATTACTTCTGGCGTCACCATCCTCATTTGGTCAGATTTTTCCATATTCTATAACCTTACAAGGAAATATGGATTCCCAACTAAAGGACAAGACTAATTTCTTCTCAATAGGAAATATGTATATGCCTTTTCTGGACTGGTGTAGACTATGCCTCATTTTAAATGTATATCCCAATACATTCCCCCAAATATCCTCCAAATATTCTGATTGGTTCTTGTCTTATTTGCTTCATCTTCATTTCTGTATCTTAACTACATAACTAGCTTCTTTCTTTCTTTCTTTGTTCCTTCCTTCCTTTTTTCTCCTCTCTCCTCCCTTCCCTTCCCCTCCCCTTCTCCTTTATTCCCCCCTTCCCTTCCCTTCCCTTCCTTCCCCACCCCCCTCTTTCTCTCTCTTTTTTTCTATTTTCCTTTTGGTGTGGTCCTGGGGCTTGAACTTGGGGCCTGGCCACTCTCCCTGAGCTTTTTGTGCATTTTACCACCTAAGCCACAGCTCCACTTCCAGCTTTTGTTTTTGGTGTTTAATTGGAGATGAGTCATATGGACTTTCCTGCCAGGGCTGGCTTTGAATTGATCTCAGCTTCCTGTAGCTAGGGTTATAGGCATGAGCCACCATGCCCAGCTCTACTTACTTAACTTTAAATTTCAGTAGTCAAAACTAAACTCTGCCTAATGTAGACTTTAACATTGTAGGTCTGCCATAACTGTCAATCCTGTACTTGTGATTCTTTGATGCACATAGGCTAATTTACAGTTTAAGTGTTTGTATAGTTTGTTACACATTTATGAGTACAGTGTGTATTGCATATATCTTTAAATGAGTTCCCAAAAAATTTGTTTGTTGAGCTAAAATTTTAGAATTGTTAAATTTAAGGAAAGATAAGAGCTCTCAGATTATAACTGCATGCCTTTCATGTAATTCATCACATACTATATCTTTTTATAGGGATCTGTAGAAATATATTTGTATGTGTGTAAATGTGTTAATGCTTAATTTTAAAGCCTATAAAATTACAAACTATTGGAAACTTTCTTATGTTCATATCTATCTTAAACCTAAAAGTCAGATTTAAGTGTCTGCTGCTTAGCCATCTTTTGAATAAGTTAAAGATAGCTTCCCTCTTAAGGACTTTTCAGAAATGTATTTTCAAAATGTTTAGAAGTGTCCTTAACAATTAGCAGCTTCTTTTCCAGTGCCTAAGCCATAAAATCATTAAAGTCATATTGAATGGAGTGTGTTGTATACAGAAAGAAAAGTTCTAATTTGATGATATTCTGCTATCTCTGGAAGGCCTGCACCAAATACACTTTCCTGTTAACTTCTAAGCAACTGAGCATGTTTGCCAAAGGGACAGCTCAGACTTGAACTACACAAAGACATGTGATAATCTGAATGGGAAATCTGGAAAGTGAGAAAGAATATAAAAATATTTGAATAAAGAAAATTTGGAAAACTATACTTTGAACATGTCAAGAATAAAACATCTTCACATTTACTATCCCCCAGAAAAGTAATAATTAATTAAAGAAATGTTTCAGTATATTTTCACACTTAATAAGTATACCAAAGTTTAAATGTTAGCTATAAAATAAACTATATTATTATACAAAAGAAAATAAATTACTATTATAAGAAAGTTATAAACTATGAATGTGAATAAGTAAATTCATTCAAGAAATAACTATTGTTACTTTGGCACTCCACAGTAAATGTTTTAATTAGAATACACTAGGAAACAGCTGTAAGATAAACAATAAATGATGTGCTCACTGTTCTCTTACAGGAAAAAAAAAACAACAAAGAAGATTCAAGATCTCAACTGAAAATTGCTCTGACTGAAGATCATTAAAATCTTGGAAGAGAATGAAGTAAAGCCTTTCCCGACAACACTTTGACAATTTGTACATTACCTACC